TCTGGGAGTTGAAGTCCACTCATCTTAAAGTGGCCAAGTTTGGACAACACTGCTTTAGGACTAAGTTTCTGTAACTTCCTAAGTCTATATATATATGTATCCTAATTGCCCTCAAAGAAGCTCAAGGAATCATAGGTAGTTCTTTCACTGAGCAACCTCTTTTGAATTAGGTTTGATGGGAAATTGGGTTTGAAAAGAGGCATTTTATTTTATAGGGAATTGGGAACTTTTCACTAATCTTTAAACTTCACAGCTTGTATAAACAAAATCCTAGAAATCTGTTAATTTCATAAGGGGGGGGGAAAGCCTTTCAAATTTTCCCATACGAACGTAACCTGTCCTATTGATTGGTATTAGAACAGTTAATATGGAACAAAGTAGTTTTTGTACCTGATTATTATTGTTGTTGTTATTTTGACAGGTTGGCATTGACTTTACTGGATCTAATGGAGATCCTCGTTCTCCAGACTCCTTACATTACATCAGCCCCAATGGAGTGAATGAATACTTGTCAGCCATTTGGTCTGTAGGAATGGTCATTCAGGACTATGACACGTATGCGTTTCTGTTGAATTGTTCTCAAACTGTTTAATGTGATGAGTGTATTTGGATTCTTCAGTAAGTCAAAGCTTGGGAAAAGATTTAAGTCATTGTTTTGCCCATTTTTAAAATTTCCCATCCTCGGTTGTATCAGTAAGAGTGGGTTTTGGGATATACTTACTGTCATAATTACATTAAGTGGTATGGCTATGCTAGGACTGAACATTCTTACTGATGTATCTTCTCAGTGAAAGAAAGTACAAAAGAATATAACAATTTAATGTTGACATTTCATGAATAAATATAGCTCACAACAAAACTTTCTATTTCCATAGTATTCTCACAAACAAACTTCTTTGTGAATTGCCTAGAACAGTCTGAATAGGTTGTATATCATCATAACATTTATATGCCTTTGTTACACCTCAGCTAGATGTACTTCATATGCAGAAACAGACACATATCCTAGAATCATAGAATGTAAGGGTTGGAAGTGACCTTGGCAATCCTCTAGTCAAACCCTCTGCCCAGTGCATAAATCCATAATCCAGCATCCCTGACAGGATGGGTGGAGATAAATTTAGTAAATTAATAAATATAATCTGGTCTGTTTCAGCAGCTCTAGCAAAGGAGAGTCCTCCACTCCCAAGGTGATTTGTTCCATTGCTGAACAGTTCTCACCACAAAGAATTTTTTTTCTGATGTCAGTTGAAAACTGCTTTCTAGTTATTTAAAGCCATTGCTTCTAGTCCTGTCTTCTGAAAGGACTCTGAACCATTCTGCATCATCTTCTGTAGGATGGCCCTTAAGGTACTTGCAAACACCTGCAATCTTTCTTTGAAATCTTCTCTTCTCCAGGCTAACATGTCAAAAGCCTCCAACTGTTCTTCATAATTTTTTTCCTTTTAAACTCCTTAGCACTATGATTGCTATCCTCTGGACACACTCCAATTTGCCCTCCTAAAATGTAGTGACCAGGATTGGATGCCATACCACTTGTGGCATTAGGTGCAGTCTGACCAATGCAACATAAAGAAGGAATGATATTGGTGTTACTGTTGACGCAGTATAGGATTGCATTAGCTTTTTTTTGTTATTGTTGCACCTTTATCATGGCAGTGTGGCTTATGTTCAGCATGCGATGCATCAGGACATCCAGATTCTTTTTGCATGGATTGCGACCCAGTGTGATTTCCCAGTCCTGTACTCATGTCTTTAATTATTCCAGTCCAAATATAGGACTTTGCATTTATCTCTAGTGAAATTAATCTTGCCGTTTTTTGCTCCTTGCTTCAGCTTATCCTCTTGGATCTTAATGCTATCCTGAAAGTGTCTGCTGTCCCCCCTATATTTATGTTTCGAACCATTCATCCAAGCCATTTATAAATAGTTTGAACAGTGTAGGACCTAGAAGTCCTGTGATATGCCACTTGATATTTCCTTCCAGCTTGAAATGGAGCCATTCATGTATAATCCTGTATGATTGTTTAGCCAGCTCTATATCCATCAAATAGTAGCATAATTGAGTTTATATTTTGCTCTACCAGGATCTCACAGGAGATTTTATTGAATACTTTGCTGAAGTCAAGGTGCAGCACTGCATTCTCATGGCCAGCTAAACCTGGTTACTTTATCTAAAACCTGTATGAGATTGGTTTGGCATTATTTATTCTTCACAAACCTAAACTGGCTCCTGCCAAGCAATCTGTTATTTTCTAAATGCTCACAAAATGTTTAATAATCTGTTCTGGTGTTTTGCCCAGTATTAAAGTTAAGCTGATCTGTCTTTATTTCCCAGATCCTGTTTTTGAAGATAGGAACAACATTTAGCCTTCTCTAATTCTCTAGCCCTATGCCCATCCCCTGTGGTTTCTGAAAGATCATAGAAAGAGGCTAGAGATGACATCTACAGCTCTTTCAGCACTCTCAGATGTAACTGTTCTAAAGCCAAAACTTGTTCATGATAGCCAGGTGCTCCCTATCTATTTATCTTGAGGTGCCCCTCCCTCCTTTGACAAATGTCCTGCTTAGTTCCATTTGAAGACAGTTCTCCTTTAGGCGAAAGATGGAAGTAAACTAGGTGTTGAGCTTTGTCATCTCCCTGTCACCATCCTATTATTTTTTCTTAGCTGTGGGCCCACTCCATCTTTTTTCTTCTTTTTAAAAATATTTTGTTGCTTTGAGCTGCCCTTGGAAGCCTAAGTATTTCTTTAACTCTAAATTCTTAGTTCAGATGAAAGCCTCCTGTATAGTCACAATGGTTCCCTAAGTTGCCCTCCGTTTTTTTTCTAATTGGAATAGTGTATGATTGTACTTTCAATATCCTATTTTTCAATGTTCTCAACCCTTCAAAGGGTTTGACCTGAGAAGTTTGGTTCATGGGACCCTGCCTAGTATTTCTATAAGCTTGTTGAATTTTGTTCTTTTGAGATACAGCAAGTGTGTATAACTATGTCCAGATCATATTTCTGTAATATCTTGAACCCCAAGATGATGTCATTTCTTCCTAGAGTTCTCACTGCTTTTAGATAGTCAGCCACCTGTTCCCTGTTGGTTAGGATCAGATCTCATAGAGCCCATTCTTTGTCTCTTTTTAACCTTTTAGCAAATGAAACATCAGGACCACTGAGGAATTTTTGTGACCTTATGGTCTTTGTCAAGTTGGTTTTCCAACAGTTGTCTGGGTAGTTGAACTTTCCCATTATTAATTTCCCCCTCCTGAAAGCTCTGTAATTTGTCCTAGGAGGGCATTCTCCAACCTGTGGCACCCCTCCCCCTAAAACCTTCATTGTTTCACTTCCTTATATTCTTACACCAACACGCTCAAGTGAATTCTCATACTCAAATGTATCCTATTCATTTCAGCCAACTGAAATGATTAAGCCTGTCTAGATATTATTGAATCATCCCTCTCCTGAGAGGTATTAGCCACCTGTTCCAGCTTTCACTCATTCTACTTAGTTGGCTTTTCCACTCTCTTTTTTCACCATCTTCTTTCTTCTGCTTCTTTTCCTCTCCTTTGTTGAACTCCCCTGCCAAATTCCCATGTGCTGTCCTGTTCACTTGCAGAACCATATGTGTAACTCCCTGCTATATGCATGGTTCTTTGTTCTTTCTGATCAATCAAAAGTTTTTTTTTTAAAGATCTCACAGTTTGACTATTTGGAAATAGGAACAGGAACCAGAACTCAACTTCCTCTTCTCCCAAATAAATGATAAAGTAAGATTTTGGCTCTGTGTTAAAAAGGCTTCCATCTCTAGCTTCTACACATTGGTTCCATTAGATTTGCCTAATTGTATTTTAACCTTTGAAACCTGTGTTTCCTTGTGTATCTTATATCACTATGTAATGTCATACTGGGCAGGGATGTTGGGGCAGGGATACTGAAAAAAGGCAAGTTAGTAGTTACAGTTTCATCAGAGACCTAATAATCCTTCACCAGCAAATAGGTGATGACATTCGGATTTCATGAATTTTTCATTTCTCTGTATATAAATCCTAGGACTGTTGTGACAGGTGAATGGTTTAGATCAGTGTTTCTCAACCTCAGCAACTTTTAAGATGTGTGGACTCCAACTCCCAGAATTCCCCAGTCCACACATTGCTGAGGTTGAGAAACACTGGTTTAGATGATTGCCTAAGCAGTATTTAATATATGTATATGTTGGTGCTGCTCGGGTATTTATTTTCCACCCTGTGCTGGAATTGTTTCCAGCAAAAATAACTCAATGGTATGAGGAGGTTGAAGGATTAGAATCCTAGCTTTGCCATTCATGCAGAATAATTTAGCAGATATTTGGGAAGAGACCACTGAAGGGAGTATGAGGCCCAGAATTTTTTTTTTTAACATAAAAGAGTAAATAAGGAAGGCTTTTCTCATCCTTTTATATTGCCTCTCCATCACTTGCACCTCCTGAAATCTTCCACTGAAGGATTGTGAGGCAATCCTGAACAGTCTTGTTGGAGAATGGGTTGCAGTGTGGTGGAAGAGTTGTCCTTCCATGGACTTCATTTTTCTGTGTCATTTTATACATACCACTCAGAATAAAGACCCACTGAGTTCAATTAAACTTACTCTCAAATAATTTGGTACTGGGTCCAAACTATAAATGTATCGTATTCTCAGGTAAGCAGAAACTCTGGAAGTACTGTTCATGAAAGTGTATTCTAAAGAGTGTCCAACTATGGGTTTACTTACCATTGTTTCTCTAAATTACTTATGCAGAGATAAGCTGTTTCCAGCTTTTGGATTTGGTGCTCAGATTCCCCCTTCATGGCAGGTAAGCAGTATACCTTGGGAATATAATTTATTCTATAAGACAATGTTAAAGTTCATTACCTAAATTTAAAAAAAAATCAGTGTCATGATGTAGATTTAGAGCAGTGTTTCTCAACTTGGCAACTTTAAGATATGTGGGCTTCAACTCTCAGAATTCTGCTGGCTGGGGAATTCTGGGAATTGAAGCCCACAAATCTTAAAGTTGAGAAACCCTGATTTAGAGGAAAGCTACCTGGTGAAAGATAAGTGAACCCATGAAAAAAATGAGTACCTTTATGTATTTTCAGGTGTCGCATGAATTCCCATTGAACTTTAACCCATCAAACCCATTCTGCAATGGTAAGTTTTAACATACTACAAAAGTATGTCCTGACATTTCTTGGTATACTGAATGTAGCAGTAAACCAACACTTGGCTTGGTGATTGTGCATTCTGAAATAAACACTGTTAACGTCGCATAATTGTTCAGAGCCAGCTGGGAAAATAAAGATTTCTAATCGAAATTGCCTACCTGCAGAGAGATTACCAACAGCTTAGACAATCCTGAAAACATGGGAAGAAATTTTTTATTTTAAAAAAATCCTCAGAAATATAACAATATAATAAAGTGGTACAAAGGGACTTCTAAAGTGTATGAGTTTTTAATGATTTCTTTCCATGAAGGAATTGCCATTTGTGGATCTGTTAAATTTTTACTGCAGGAATTCTGTTTGGAACAAGAACCTGTGTTGCTACTCATTGCAAGTATTTCAATGTTGCATAGTGATGAAATTCTCTGTGTGCTCCCCTATTTCAGGACTTAACAATATGAAAAGAACCACTTCTGTGAGCTCTTCTCCAAAGTCATGTGGCCTTAATTATTAAAAATCCTTGCGATTTAAATTTCATTCACTGTTTGACTAGCTAGTCTGCTTACTAGTACAATCTTGAGATAAGCAACTTTATGGGTTGTAGCTCTTCTTCCTTAAATATAGGCTGTATAAAATAGAAATGCTTATTGAGGCTTCAACACATAGACCTTCATAAGTGTGGAGGATGGCAGTAATAGATAAATTTCCTTCAGTATGTTTTATTCCCTTCAGGTATCCAGGGTATTGTGGATGCATACCGTGTCTGCCTTCCTCAAGTAAGATTGTACGGGCCCACCAACTTCTCTCCAATCATCAATCATGTGGCTAGATTTGCTGCTGCGACTCCACAGCAGAGAACAGCCTCAGTAAGTACCTTATTGCTATGCTACAGTTATGCTTTTGTGAAAAGATGCTGTTATGGAATGAGTCATGCAAAGAATTTCTGAATTTATCAAAAGCACTTGGTATTACAAAATTAAATATAAAAGTTGAGGGTTTTGTAAGCAATTATACTTGGCAAGTAGACTATATCTCTACCCTGTTAAGTGTCCTTTTAGTACTTTAATCTGTAGTAAGAGTGAAATATAGCAAAAAGCAAAATGGAGATTAATTATTTATGATGAGGCGTGAAGAGTAGTACTAACCGCTATTTATTTACACATAAATATCTACTTCATATCTGGCCATTCCTTTTCCCTGAAATGCCCTTAAAGCAATTTAAGGTTTTCATAAAGCAAATTTGCATCTGTACATATCAGGGCAAATGCTTGTATGTGCTGGTTGGAATAGTGATGCTACTTGGAAGTCATAATTGACGAATTGGCCAATTCTAATTATCTAGGTATCTACAGATTCCTGCTAATATTACTACTTACTAAGAAAACAGTAATATAAGCTAAGTACATGAATCATGACTTTTCATAAGATTTCTGAAGCAGGTATATATAACTTCACTAATAATGTATTGCAACTATGCGTTAACTTTTTAAAAGTAGAGCTTATTACCATTTGTCAGGCTAAGACACTATGTATATAACCTTGTTTCCTTTCCTTGTGGTAGAACAGAGGAGTTGTCCCCATGCACGTGTTGGGAATCCTCTTCAGCTCAACACTTTTGCCATTTTTCTGAGTTGTGAGCTGGCATTTGTGGATCCTATATTTTTCACATGCGGTAATATGCTTAGAATGCTCTAAACCTCACCATATTGTTAGCAACAAGCCCCTACATCTGCACTCTTAAATGAGAGGTTGCACTGGAGGCAATGAATATCTAAAGAAGCAAAAATGGCTCTGTATAAAAATATGTTTCTGCTGACTGAAATGAAATGAAATGAAATTAATTAAATAGAAGTGAGTGTTGGGTTTGTCAGGAGAAATATAAAAGTAAATGGTATACAATTTTAGTTGAGTAAAACGACGATTCAAGATTTGGTGGAGAAAACCTAATGGAATGTTGCACTCTTAAAGTATCTTAAGTGTCATTGTAGGGGAGAGTCAGGAATACTGTTCTGGCAATCTATATCTGGAGATAATTATAGTGCCCTTGTATAAGGACTGTTCTCCAGATGAAGACATAAGACTCAATACAAATTGCATAAACCTTTTTGTTGTTGTTGTTGTCTTGGGCCTTTTCCTTTCTGACATGCTTATAAATTGGTTTCCCAGTCAATTATCTTTGGGAATATATTTTCCTCAATTTTAACAAGGTGCTTTTGTTCAACAGCAATATTTTGTACTCCTGATAATCACAGATGGGGTGATAACAGACCTTGATGAGACTAGATCTGCTATTGTCAATGCATCTAAGCTTCCCATGTCCATCATTATTGTTGGTGTTGGAGGTGCTGATTTCAGTGCCATGGAATTTCTGGACAGTGACAGTGGAGCTCTGAGATCACGTTCAGGAGAGGCTGCTATTCGAGACATTGTCCAATTTGTGCCATTTAGACAGTTCCAGAATGTAAGTACTGTTTCTTAAAGATGTGCATTGCTTCAGGTTCAGTTCTAGAAAGGTGCATTTAGAACTTGTGGTAACATGAATGTAGTAGCATCTTTCTGTAGCTCTTTAAAGCAGCTGCATCTTTTCCCATTAAGGAAAATTATGGCTGCTTAAAAGTTGTAGACTGGTGCTGTGCTGGTGCTCTTGCACACTCTGAAGCATTCCCAAGATGTTGATGAGCTGCTGCCTTCACTGATACATTTAACTTTGGTTGGAGTACACTAAAGGAAATAAAATATTTCTTCTTGAAACATACAGACGATTAAGCTGTCAAAAGAGCAGTTCTGAATGAAATCTAGAAGCCTTTGTTACACTCTTCATCCCAGATGAAGACTTTTAGTAATAGGTTTATGTGAGTATCCTGTTAAAGGAATTTCTTTGTGAGGGAGAGAGAAGTAAGCACTTGCCTAAAATATTTATGGATATTATATGTCATCTCTCTGACCTATATCACTTCATTGAAGTAAACCTATATTTCTGCATAGATTGATTAGAGACATTGCTGTATAACTAAAAACTTTTACTGTGTTGTATTATTTACAATACAGTCAGTACTGTTTTATTATTGTGCCAAAACACTCCCTTAGAAAAAGGACCTAGATAATCCATTTCCTTTAGGATCCTCTGTAGCTGAGTCTCTATTCTAGACAACTTTGGTCAAGAAGATCAGAATGGATAGTGGGTGAAAGTTGTCAAACATGGCCACGTAAATCAAGGAACTGTCTGGGATTGGGCAGAGGCCTTGTTAGATCAGTCTCTTCAGTAATCTAAATTTTAAGATAGCATGGAAGACAGTTTCCTGGAAAGTCTGAGCAAGTCCTCTGTAGTAGATCACATCTCATCAACTGTAATGGTATATGGAATAACCTTGTGAGACAGGGTAAGAAGACGCAACCAAGGGAATGGTCAGATAAAAGGCAGTTGAGCCCACAGCAGGAATGTGGGCAGGGTAAGAGGCTCAGAAGAGACCCTCCCTAGTTTCTTGGGCTGTGAAGGAGATGGGGAGACAGATGTACAGTGGGGCAAAAAAGTATTTAGTCAGCCACCAATTGTGCAAGTTCTCCCACTTAAAAAGA